GTTTTCGTATGCGTTTGGCCAATCAATGTCTACTTATGTCACGATTAGTACCAGTTGTGCTGGTTAGACCCTAGAAGCTAATTTGGTTCTCGAAAAAGGCAGTCCGGTACTAAAATCGCACCCAGTTCCGACGGTGCGAAAACGCCAAAAAGTGGGTAGTTCCACAATTAGTTCTGGTACTATGAAAAGGTTCCCGCGGTGCGAAAGGCCCTTTTGTTTGGTTTCCATGGCAACAGGAGCTGACAAGTTCACTATTGTGTGTGCTACTGTTGTGCGGTGAACCTTGCAAGGACAACACTTTCTGTTGTATGAAATGCTGGGTATGAAACTTCAGCTATTTTATCTTATTTCTAATTATCGCAATCTTTTTCTCAAGGATCTTTGTCTGTCACATTTTGTTTAGTTCAGTTTCTCTCTTGAATGAATAGAATATTCTCTACTGTAGTGGTAAATTAATACTTAGCTATTGTAAAAGAGAGACCAATTGGTGAAACAACTATTGTTAATCAGCCGCATGCCAAGATGACATCTTAATCAGGACAGAAGCAATATTTATTCTGTTCTCATAAGAGCAAATAAACATGAATGCATGCACCATTAGGGCTGTTGACTCAAAAATTAAAGCAGTCTTTCAGTAGATGACAACACTACAATCTCTAGTTAGAATACACAGATTTTTTCATGAGACATCCAAAGATGCAAATACATCCAGTTAATTTTTTATAAGCCTATTGCTTTATTACATCACATGCTACAGAATAGCTTTGATAGTTTCAAAGTATCTCCTATTAGCTCTTTCAATTATTATAAATTTTTTTTCGGGGGTTGGGGCGGGGGAGGCTATCAAATATCTGTAAAAATTAACGTGATAGTTTCTTTTGGGGCAGCACTGGAGAGTTTTAGAATATTCTAGTTTATTAATGCTTTTTACAGTGTATATTGTTTCAAAGCAGCTTCACAGAAAATGCATGTTAAAATATATGAGCATGATTATAAAATAGTGACTCATTGTGAAGGAGTTAACAAGCAATGTTGATGACTAAAATGAAATTAATTGTTTTTGTTAATTGAAATAAAAATAAAAATATATTTTATAGGACGTCGGCGTTGCGTGATTAGTGACGAACGCGGAGAGAGAACAAAACAAAATGCCGGTCATGAATTTGAAGTTCAAACCGAGGATTTGTAAAGAAAAATGTCAGAGGATTTCGATATAAGCCAAGAGAAGACAGGTTTTCCTTTGCTAAAGTAAGGAAACTTTGCTTTTGCTCCTGTAAACAAACTCGTGAGACTAGCATATCTCAGAGTTGCGCGTGTTGTGCATATGTCCTACGTTATCTGCCGGAAGAGCTTCCGCGTACGACAGTCAGCAGAAGTGAGAGAAAAGTGTTTATTACGTTTGAAATATGAATATTTTTCTTACAAAAACGCATGGATTCGCTACAGGAGGCCTTTATTCATGCCCCGGAGCCGTGTGAGGCATGTTTTATTATGGATGCGCGCACTTTATTTAACGTGTTTGGACTGTTAAAGAGAAACACCCACCCACCCCCCACCACCTTAGTTGTTGGTATCTGCAAAATCCATCTGAGCTGCATTTCCTATGCCCCTATTTTCCGAACATTCAGCAGCGCACGTCATATCATGTTCGGAACTGATCATGGGGGTCACAATGCAGAGCCGTATCTACCTTGATCTAATTACTAGGAGGATTCAACAGGACCCTCGCTGAGTCTTCATCCCGTATTCCTTTTCATAATGTTCCTTATTCAAAGAGCTTTTCAAATCTGGTGTCATCATTCTGTACGTACCCTGCGTAGGAGGGAGATCTCCCTGCAATACTGTATGACATGAAAGAGAAAATGCCCTCTTACAATCATGAATCTATCAGAGCAAGTGTCAGCTTGATGTCATCACTCCCTATATTGGCACTCACCATTAAACCGATCACCCTGGGTGCAGAGAAAGAAGAGAAAAGATTTGATCATTTCTTTACCGCATGCACGTTTTAGACCACAATACAAAATGAGACTCAAAATCCATTGTATGGCATTATAGATACTATATATAAAGGATTGTTCAACCATATTTTTTTCTTCTGTGCATGGTAATTCAGCATGGATATGACGGCAATGGATATAACAATGTTAATGTATTTGGTCTTGGTGGAATAGATGCTGTGAGTATTTAAGACATACTGCTGCTGCACAAATAGCATATATAATGCTGCAACATGAACTAATCAGCTTGTGCCAAGTTTAACGCTGTGAATATCATCATTTTGCGTTAATGACCCATCAGCCTGCTCCATCTAGAGTTTCAAGACAGAACTTGGCATTTGTGTCGCTTCACTGTCATTTATAAATCCTCTTCCATGGCCTCACAGGATAGTAAAATGTCCATCAGATGTGCATTTCAGAATCTCGCCAGAATTAGTAGGTCATCCGGGTACTTTTCACCTACTTTCTTTAGGTTACTATGAATTCATACATACTACTCCAACCCTCTACATTGCGAGTAAATCACTCGCATATGCGACTAAATATTCACTCTGGGCGACTAAATGATGTCTAATATTAGATTCTCAGATTTTACTCGCCAGTGTGTGAGTTGGAGGCTAAGTATAAGTTTAGCACAGATATATTTTCACTCACCGAACACTGACTGAGCGCTTCAGAGTTTCTCTCTCCATTAGGCGATCTGTGCTATTTTTCAGTTCATCTCAATGGATGCGCAGTGCACCTGTATTTGACGTACCGTAAACTCTAGTGTAACGGCGCACGACTCGCCGTCTCTTTGGTGAGAGCATAGTTCCTTTGGATTTTTTCAGCTTTTAAGAACTGCTGGGTTTTCCGTTAGTGGGCGGAACTAATGCACAAACGGCAATCTCATTGGCTGGTGCTCACCTATTATCGTCCCTGTTTTGATTTCAGCGAATCAGTTCGAGTGAACGCACACAACCTGATTAATATTCATGAATCCAGCAGCTCGTTAATCCTTAGTGTGTTTTATACTGTTCTTGTTAGCAGAATTTGTATTATTATTATTATTATTATTATTATTATTACCGTCTTATCAGTATTATTGTTAGTTTTTTCCCATTGACCATACATGGTTACCAAGTTTTAATTCTAATTACTAAAGTTCTATCATTAATTAATACTTGATTATCATAATATCATATTATAATTCTTGACTGACTGATGTTAAGAGTGTACTTTCAGATAAATAAAAAGCTGTGCCATTTACAATCATATACAGTATTATACAGTATATATATATAATATATATATATATATATTAGTATATCAGTCTGGCGAGTAAACTAAAAAATTTACTAGCCAATGGCGATTCAATTGCCAAGGTGTCCGTTGAGGGTTGTACTCCATTGATATAATGTTTTTCATGTACTATACAGTAGGGAAGTATTTGATTTCGGATGCAGTGCATGATAATCAGATGTGGGTGAACTACTAACAACATAGACGCAAAATGAGGTAAGATATGTTTTTGGGCATTAAGTAATGGCACAAATAGCAGTAAACTGACTACTGAAAACCTTGCATGATTCATTTAAATACTCTCCTCCCATAAAATTTGTGCCTGAATTGGAAACTCCTACAAATGCATATGCAATCAAAGACTTTAGATATACAAAGACAGT